TTTTATTTTTATTTTTCTGCATTAAGCTGTTTTGAGAAAATTCAAGTTTTTTCTACATATATGTATATAGTCTTGCATGGTAGTCAAAATTTTTTCATCATAAACTGTAGTTTTAAAGTGAGCGCTAATAAACCAGACTAGAAATACTTTAAAAACTTAAGTTATTATTATTATTTTTTTTTAAATGATAGACTGCCTGCCTTAACCAAACCCTCAGTCGATGTATCAGCACTCCCTTGCAAGTCAGGCTATTTGTCAGTTGATGTAGCAGCACTCCCTTGTTAGTCAGGCTATTTGTCAGTCAATGTAGCAGCAATCTGTTGTGAGTTAGCTATAAGATAGTCAATGTAGCAACACTCCTTGCATGTATTAAATATATATTAAAAAAAAAAAAAAAAAAGCATTATTAATTAAAAAAAACTTTCTAGTCATTATTATTGCAATTTTTTCAAAAAACAATATAATATAATGTACTTCCACATTGATTTTATTGCTTTGACATTTCGACGACAATAAAATGTAGCTTAATTGTTGAGGTAGAAAAGTTGTAGTCAAAAGATTTTTTACATTATAAGTCTCTTTTGACTTCACTATAAAGATATATATATATATATATATATTTATATAAATTTATATATATATATATATATATATATATATATATATATATATATATATATATATATATATATATATATATATATATATTTTTATTAGGGCATCTCATACTTTTTAATTTTATGTAAAAAAGTTTTCCCTTATAATTTTTTTACTGTTAGGTATATATATTATTATGAAGCCCCTGCTTTGGAACTTATATCTTATTGAAGCAATAGGAGTATTTTGAATCATCATATAATTTCGCTTTACTTCAAAATCATTACTTATGCTTAATAAATCAATATGTTTAGTGTAACTAGAACATTCAAACTCACTTTTAGAGCACTCTTCTTCATCTTTACTTTTTTTCTAAAACCTCAGCATAGATTTTTTTCAAATGGATACTGTTTATCATTTCCTTTTCCTCAAATTTTTTTAAATTCTGTTCCTTTGTTTACTACATTGCTCAATTGCTTTTTTGCTTCTTTTTAATCTCTCTTTTTGATCATAATTTGAAACTGCTTTTTCTTTTTTTGCTTTTTCCCTTTTTTTTCTCTGGGAATATTAATTCTTTTATAGGAATCCTCACTCACTTTTTTCATTTATTGGACTGAAATTTTTTTATGACTGTTTAACAGATTTCAAACTGTTCAACAGAATTTTTTAATCTGAAAATTAAACAAAGCAATCACCCTCTACATGTAGCAACAACAACATCATTTATTGCAAAAAACAACATCTGAATCACACCAGTAGCTTTTTTTTTTTTTTTTTTAAGTTATTCGCCTTCCCAAGGCCCGAGGGGGCCACTACAGTCGAGGAGGCTACTCGTTTTTTTTTTTTTGTTTATATTTTTTTATTTTTTGTTGTAAATCGTGGTACAACCCTCTCTCAACTTTTTAACTCCGAAACACGAACCTTGACAAGTACTTGTACTGTACTTTCAGGGACATAATGGGAGTCGAACTCCGAACCCCTCGCTTACAAAGCGAGCGCTCTTACCATTACACCACTACCGCATAATGCAGCTATCACTGCAGCTGACTAGAAGCACTAACTTTGGGCTAAATATTTATCGTTTTGGCTAAATATTTATGATTGAATTATTTTCTATTGTGTTATCACAAATTGCTTTCAAAAACCTTAGTAAGGCTTCATACGCAAACGAAGCTGTACAACCAATCTCTTGGGTGCATGTGACATCTTAACAAAGTTAGATAATAACTCGCAGTTACCAAGATCAAGACACTTGACACGTCTCAATCAACTTTTCAACAATCAACAAAAAGTTAAAAATTAAAACAGCAGCCTCAACTTTTAACGGATAATGCTAACTGTAGTTTTAGTGATAAAAAAGATAAAGAAAACGTGTTCATAAAAATTTTGCAGTTTCACCAAAAAACAAACATCATAAACTTGGTTGTGCAGTTCACATCATCAACAACTACTGATTGTTGTCCCATAGAATTTAGTTAAAATAATTTTTATTTTATTAAAATTATAATAATGGTTATAGTATAATGATTTTAAAATAATAAAAATGGTGGCTTTTAAAATTTATTAGTGCTTTAACATTTATAGTGTTAGGGAAAGAAAAAAAAAAGGAAGAAACTAAAAGAAACAAAACTTAGAGAAACTAAAAGAATACTGTTATTTTGTTGTTAGAAAATACAAAAATGTACTTGAATAGTCTAAAAACTGGTTGCTTTCTTCTTTCTTTCTTCAGATTAATTGAGAATTTTAGCACTCTAAAATCATTTAAAATGTATATATATATATATATATATATATATATATATATATATATATATATATATATATATATATATATATATATATATATATATATATATTCCTTATTCCTGAAGAAACAATCTGTATAATGAAACGTTGTGGAAAAACCTTACTTTGCTTTGATGAGGAAACTTGGAAAAAGAAAAACATACATGACTGCTTTGATGTGACAATGGGCAGTTATGACGGAGCAGAAATTTGTGAGTTTGTTGGACTATGCATTTTAGATTTATTAAGTAAAATTATCAATGTAAATGATTTAGGCCTTTATCGCAACGATGGTTTAATAGTAATGCATAAAAAATCTGGTCCACAGCTCGATAAGATTTGAAAAGATATTATAAAATTTTTTTTAGATATTTTTTTCAAATCGAAATAAACATAAATTTAAAAATTGTGAACTTTCTTGATGACACATTTAACCTCTCTGAAAATTCATATAAGCCTTTCAAAAAATGATGAATTATTGTATATTAATATTCTCAAATCATAACTCAAATCATCCACCACAAATTCTAAAACAAATCCTGATTTATAATAATTAATAACAGGTTAAACCAAAACTCCTCTAATGAAAATGTATTTAATTCCTCCAAACAAATATTTGAAGATGCCCTTAAAAAAAGTGGTTTTGAAAATTTTGAACTGAAATTTGACCCTGAAAAAAAGAACACAAAAAAACGGAATAGAACTAGAAATGTAATTTGGTTCAATCCCCCATATAGCAAAAATGTTTCCACTAACATAGGAAAAGTGTTTTTAAAACTGGTCGATAAGCATTTTCCTCCCTCTAATAAATTACATAAATTTTTTAATCGAAATACAATTAAAGTTAGCTACATTTGCACAAAAAATATGGAAAGAATTATAAAAAGTCACAATAATGCTTTGTTAAATAAAAAAGAAATCCTAAATGAAAAAACTACAGAAAATTGTAATTGTAAACAAAAAAACAATTGTCGAATGAGTGAAAGTTGTTTATCAAAAAATGTGGTATATAAATGTGTTGTTTCCTCTAAGAATGTACCCGATAAACAGTATATTGGCATAACAGAGGGTGAATGGAAAAAACTTTTTGACAATCATAAGCAATCTTTTAAAAATAAAAAGTATTCAAAAGACACCATGTTGTCAAAATATACATGGGAACTAAAAGATAAACATATTGATGATTTTATACTGAATTGGTCCATCCTTAAAACAGCACCTGCATACAACAATATTTCCAAAAAATGCATACTATGTCTACAAGAAAAATTTCAAATAGTTACACATGCAAACCAAGAATGTTTGTTAAACAAATAATCGGAATTGATTTCTAAATGCAGGCGCAAAAATACCATTTAATAAAATATCATATCAGACATACCAGTCTGAAATCGTCCGTTGCATTGGAGAGCTTTTTTGACGGTAGGAACCTCGAACTGTGTGAACAAAGAAGGTTTTAGTTTAACTCTAATATAAGTTTATCGCATCTTTCTCCCGACTTTTCAGCTATTTGTTCAGCTAGATGCTTGTGGTATATCGTGCATTCTGGATCCATTCCGCTGGTTATGGAGAAAATAGGTGACATAGAGGTTTTGTGTTTGATATTTATAACTTTTTTGTTTAACTTTTCTTTTTTTCATTTTTGTGTTTAATGCATATTTTATCTACATACAGTTCTATTTGTGACAGTGAATTTGGGTTTACGACTTGCACATCAAACCAATTATTCTGTACTTTATGCCAGAACCCATAGGCTTAAATATCTAGTCTAGCTTCATCTGCTTTATTTTCTTTTTTCATACAAATTTCAACATTTATTTGCTGAAATGGTGGCTCTATTTGGACATTTTCGCAGATCCTCGAAAGCATATTACTTTCAAAATTGCATAGGTTATTCTGACGCATAATGACAAACCCTCTATTTTTGCAGTTCATAGTGTAATTAGTGTTGAATTTTTTTCCATATATAATTGATTAGACAATTTCAAGGGACCAAATAAATTAAACCAATTTACCAAAAGTTTACTGTACAACTGACCAAAAATTAACTGCATGACTTATTGAGAATTAACTGTATAAGCAAAAACAAATTTTGAATAAAAGTAAAAGTATACAACTTCAAATTTTATTACATAAACTGCATTTTATTACAATAAGAAAATATAAAATACTTTTTATAAACAGTAAAAATGTATAGCTTTTTGTTTATTAAGTTTTCCATTTAATGAATTAGGTTGTTAATGAATAAATGGATAGCTAGACAGCGCAATAAACAATGCTTGTTATGTATATGTTCTTGTAACATTAATGGTACAAGCGAAAACATGTTACTGCATGTAACAAGTAAAAAAAGCAATTTGTTAAATGACTAAATAGATAGCTTGTGCAAAAACCAAAAGCTCTCATAAAAAGCTGTTTAGAGGAGCAGCTTGCAGGGCTTATCATGTTTGTTTTAGGGGAGCTTTTCTCTGCTCTCGCACTCATTATATTTCATATATATATATATATATATATATATATATATATATATATATATATATATATATATATATATATATATATATATATATATATATATAATTATATATATATATATTAGTGTATACATTTATTTTTAGAACCTTTATCGAATGCTCCTGATCTACCTCCAAAAATTACCTCAAAAAAAGGTTTAATAATTTTAATTGTATTTATGTATATTTAAGGTATTTAAATAAAAACCTAAAAAAACAATTTCTCTGGACTTGAAGCAAATGTTTAAATTCACTTCCAAAAAGTTTAATCACTATTGTATCACTTTTTCCTTGTGTTCTTTTGTAAATTTTTTTTTATCTAATAGTTTTATTTGTTATATCATATGGTGCATTTTGGTAAGTATGGTGCAATACTTCAAAACAATGTCAATGATTGGTTACCAAAAGTTTATTTTATTCATATATTAAATCACATGATTTGTTTTTAGTTTTTTATTTAGTTGAAATATTTATAAATTAATTTAAAAATATGAACTTTGCTAAATAAATAGAAAAGACATTTTAAAATAATTTTTGAGTTAATCTTGCTATGTCGTATGCGATCGCCAATTTTGTAAAAAAAACTATATTTTGACCAAAATTGTTTGCAGAATGAAAACTTGAAGCTAAAAATAATTTTATTTATTGAAAGGTTTTCAGAAAGAAATTTATTACATTTTTATTCAAAATGTCCTCCCTCACCATCAATTACAGCTTCAAGGTGACTTTTGAATCTATAACAGGTGGTCTGGATATTGTCCTTGGACATCTTGTTCTATTCTTTTTTGATTACAGTTTTTAGGGATTTGGCACTGTTGTAGGATTTTGATAACCCCTTGACTTTACATACACTCAAAATTAATAGTCAAGAGATGACAAATCTGGATATCCAGGTGACCATAACATTTTTGACCAGAGTTTTCCCAGGTCATCCTGGAGCTCTGGGTCTCATGGGACAACTGTGGTGGTGCTCATTCTTGCTGGAACACCACCTTGTCTGAAGAGTAGCGGGCATCAATCCAGGGCATGTCATGGTTCTCCAGGATTTGAATGTATATATTGGTGTTGACTTTTTGACCAGATTTGATGTAAACCGGAGACATTTTGAGACCATCAGATGAATGCCAAACATCATAACTGAAACCTAATATTTAGTCACAATTCAATATAAAGAATACATTTAAATGTATTCTTTACATGCTCTGAGACTGCTTGGACTGGTTGATGACTAATAAAACTAATGGTTCTACTGTTTGACACAGAATCATCAGTACAAAATATCTCATCTGAGAAGTGAATTGTCATTGTTCTCTTTTTTATAATTCTTAGAACTTTCTTCCATCTTTCAAATCTTTTTCCTTTGAGACTTGGGGAAACCAGGTGTTTCTTAATTCTGGCTCTTGACTTTGCTTTAAAACCTTTTCTGACCACATTTCTGATGCTGAATGTCCATCATTTGAAAACATTTAATCACAGTACTTACTAGATTCATTGCTCATTGACCTTACTAGATTTTGAGAAATTTGGCTGACCTCTTTAAACCACTGCCAAGTTTTCTCTTAAAATGACCAGTTATTTGAAAACATTTAATCACAGTACTCAGAGGTTTGTTTAGCATCTTGGAAATGTCTTTGGGCATGTTACAATTTATGTCAACATGGTTTATTATCGCTACTCATTTTCATTTTTTGGCTGGTTTTTTTTGTTTACTTTTATTTTCAAAGTTTTATGCGTCAACAAAAACAAACTCTGTGCATAAAAATACCAACAAAAAATTTATTTTGAAATTACCAAAATTATTACGAGATTTGCGATTGCATATGGTATAAATATATGTGTTTGTATACATATATGTATAACTGTGTATACATTTATTTTCAGAACCTTTATCAAATGCTCCTGGTCGACCTCCTAAAAAGTTCTCTGTTTTATCAGTTCTTCATCAAAGTACAAAGATTTTTAATTTTTTACATTTTTAATAGTTTTATGGCTTTTTTATGTATTTTTATTAATTTCTATGCATTTATAAATAATATCTATTGAGCCAACCTATTTTGTCACAGAGAATAAATTTTTCTTCCACAATTGAACAACTGTTTGCTTTCAACAGAAGATGGAAGGCATTAATAAATAAATAATATATAAATAATAAATAAATACTTTTGAGCTATTGGAGCTAATTGCTTGAAGTTTTTTCTATTTGCTCCCCACCATACTGTAGGACTATTTTGTTGCATGATTATGTCTTGGCTCAAATACATTAAAACTTAATTTTTTATTTTTAGATGTTTCCTTTCTGTTTCTTGCAGAACTTTAGATAATGATGTGTTTTTGATTAAAGTGCTTTTATTTTTAATAAAATTTTCAAAGCATTTAGATTTAGAAAAATTGAAATCTAGATTTATTGTACTTAATGAAAAACTGACCTCAGGTTGAATTTCCATATGATCTTTTTGTTGAAAACTTTTTGAGCAATCTACAAGCCATTTATTAATATTTAAAAAATTTTTACAAAATAACTCATCTTCTTCATTTGTAAAATAATTATTTTTATACTTAGGATGGAAAAATGTGGCTAAAAGTTGTTCCTATTCCCTAAAAACAAGTAAGACTTTTTAGCTGGAACCAGCATGTTTTTATTTTTACTTGTACAGTTGAAATTATAGCATATATATATATATATATATATATATATATATATATATATATATATATATATATATATATATATATATATATATATATATATATATATATATATAGATATATATATATATATATATTATTACATTTTTTTATTTAATACATGTTTGGACTATATATAGTCATCAGTTGAAATATATTTGTAAAAAACTAAAAAAAAAAAAATTTGTTTTTAACAAATATATTTTAACTGATGATGACTATATATAGTTGAAACATGTAATGAATAATATAATGTTTTTAAATATATATATAAAAGTTTTTTGAATGTTTTTTTAATTGCTAATTTTATCATGCAAGTCACATGATTGAGTTCTCTTAATCTATGGGATCACTTTTGCGGAATAAAATCAATAAACAAAATAAAACTTAAATTTTTTTGAATCTCACAATTAGTATTAAAATAATAGCCTAAATCATTAAAATTTGACTTTAGGGTTGCCAGACGTCCTGCAAAAGGAGAACACATTCTCCTTTTTTATCTTTAGTCTTTTCTCCAGCAGGCAAAGCTGAAAACATTTAAAATGTCCAGCATTTTTATTAATTTAAGTTTTTTATTACTTCATATGCTTTTTTTTTAATTTCCTCATTTAAACTATTCTTTTAGCCTCATTTTTATCCTCATTTAAACTAATGTAGCTATTCTTAAAATTTAAAAACTGTATAGTTTTTGAATTTTTTTTTTTTTGATGTTCTATTCTTTAATTAAAACGTCAGGTTCTACTTTTAACTTTGTGTGTTTCGCTTTTCCAATTGTTGTTCTATAGACTAGTTAGAATGTACTATAATTGACGGAAAAGTTTCCACTCTTCTTTCTCCATTAACTGATTCTTATCAAGTTTGCAATATATGTGGATTAAATCCTAAAAAAATGAATGACTTTGTAATTGCTTATAATAAACAACCTAATCAGATGTCTTTGGACTTGGGAATCCACACTCTCCATCTCTGGATTCGTTGTTTTGAATGTCTGTTACATATTGGACAGAGAAGAAGACCAGGGTACAATGATTGTGGATTTTTTCATGCAAACACTCCTGAAAAGAAAAATATAGTTGCAAATAGAAAAAAAGAAATTCAGGAAAAAATCAAAGATACATTTGGACTTGTTGTTGATGTACCAAGAAGTGGTGGCTCTGGTACATCTAATGATGGAAACACAGCAAGAAGGGCATTTAGAAGCCATGAAACTTTTGCTGAAATACTTGGAATTGATAAGGGTCTTGTAAAAAGATTTTTCATTATCCTTTGTGTGCTGTCCTGTAAACACCCAATTGATCCTGATAAACTAGAATTATATTGCAAAGAAACATTTAAGACATATGTAGTTCATTTTAAATGATATCCTATGCCTGTTGGAGTTCACAAGATGATTGTACATACACACCAGGTTGTAAGAGACAAGCCAGTTCCAATTGGCCTCTTATCTGAAGAAGCCCAAGAAAGTAGAAATAAAGATGTTAAAAATTTTCGAGAACATTTTACAAGAAAGTTTTCTAGAAAACTTACAAATGAAGATGTAATGAGAAGATTGCTCTGCTCATCAGACCCCTTTATCACTTCTATGAGGCGAAGTTCAGAATCAAAAAAGAAACTTGAACTTCCAGCAGAATGTTTAGACATTTTTTTGTAACTTTCTAAATAATATTCTTATTATTATGAAATATGTGTCACATAATATTCTTATGAGCTCTCAAAAGACATATCATATTTTCCAAACACCATAAACACCTAGTATTTATAATGAACTTAATTATTTCATTTCCCATCAACTTAATAACAACAATGATTATTACCTATAAACTGTAAATATATGAACATAGAATGTTTTAACATCAAAAAAGTATTGTTTTTCTCTTTTTCTTTAAATATTGCTTCTCTTGTTAAAAATTTTGACGAATTTAACTCACTTTTATCTCTTATTAACCATGAATTCAGTATTATTAGCATAACTGAAACTAAACTAAAAAATGACATTCTACCAACTATCCCATTAAATCTTACCGGTTATGTTTATGAGCACACTCCAACAAAATCTTATTTTGAAGGTGCCTTACTTTATATATCCAATACATTAACTTACAAACCTCGAAATGATCTTAATATGCTTAAACTAAAGTTTTTAGAATCCGTGTTTGTGGAAATCGTATTTCCTGAAAAATCAAACATCATTATTGGCTACATTTATCGCTATCCTAGTATGGATATTTCAGAATTTATTAAATCGCATTTAATTCCACTTTTTGAAAAGCTATCTATGGAAAAAAACAAAACTACTTTTTTAATGGGTGATTTTAATGTCGATCTTTCATTAGCAAACTCAGATAATTATGTCTCTGAATTTATAGACACCATTGCTTTAAATAACTTTCTTCCCTCTATTTCAATGCCAACAAGAATCACGAATCACTCCAAAACTGATTGATAACATATTTTCTAATGTAACTTCTACAAATATTTTTGCCGGTAATTTTACTTCTACGGTATCAGATCATTTACCCCAATTTTTAATAAATCCATTTTATAGAACCAAAATTAATCCTCGCAAAAGCTGCATTTTTTGTCGGAATTTAAAAATAAATAAATTACAAAGAATTACTGTTTGTTTCCTTAATTCACTTCAATCGTTTCATTTTATAGACTGTACTACTTAAATGTCTACTCACTGCAAAGATTGTTTCGAGAAAATTAATAAAAACCATCACTACCTTTAATATAATCATTGCACAGTGGTCCAGTACCATGTCATAAACATTCTTCAATATTTCTATATAAAATTTTTTTTAATAAACTGAGCAATTTAAAAATATATAATTATAAAGGGTTTGAGTTTTTAAAAAACATCAATGAAACATGTTTAAACATGTGTACATACTACTAGAAAAAAGGTGCTATTTTAAAAATGCAGCTTTATAGATTTCTTAAAATAAAGTAATCATATTTAGAACACATACTATCAATAATTCAATTAGTATGATATAAAGAATATTATTTAGAAAGTTACAAAAAAATGTCTAAACATTCTGCTGGAAGTTCAAGTTTCTTTTTTGATTCTGAACTTCGCCTCATAGAAGTGATAAAGGGGTCTGATGAGCAGAGCAATCTTCTCATTACATCTTCATTTGTAAGTTTTCTAGAAAACTTTCTTGTAAAATGTTCTCGAAAATTTTTAACATCTTTATTTCTACTTTCTTGGGCTTCTTCAGATAAGAGGCCAATTGGAACTGGCTTGTCTCTTACAACCTGGTGTGAATGTACAATCATCTTGTGAACTCCAACAGGCATAGGATATCATTTAAAATGAACTACATATGTCTTAAATGTTTCTTTGCAATATAATTCTAGTTTATCAGGATCAATTGGGTGTTTACAGGACAGCACACAAAGGATAATGAAAAATCTTTTTACAAGACCCTTATCAATTCCAAGTATTTCAGCAAAAGTTTCATGGCTTCTAAATGCCCTTCTTGCTGTGTTTCCATCATTAGATGTACCAGAGCCACCACTTCTTGGTACATCAACAACAAGTCCAAGTGTATCTTTGATTTTTTCCTGAATTTCTTTTTTTCTATTTGCAACTATATTTTTCTTTTCAGGAGTGTTAGCATGAAAAAATCCACAAACTTTTGTGGATTGTGGAAACTTTTCCATCAATTATAGTACATTCTAACTTGTGCTTGACTTGAAATAAGTCTATGGTTGTTGTTCTGAGTTCAGTTGACATCAAAAAATCATATTCTGCTTTAACAATTTGCTGATTTTCTTTAACGTATTGCACTCAAACAGGGTGACAGTATTGGGTTGAGGATGTTTTGGGGTTAGTCCAAAGAATAACATTAGTTTCCTGAACTTTAAGTTGCACAGGTACTGTACATGAAAAAAACTAAGATTCTTCAACTGAGAATGACAATCTGTCCTCTTCATCTTTAGTTCTCTGTTTATAAACAGACTGTCCAGTTGAACCATTGAATCCGACTTTGCTTATAAGAAGAAGAGTATTGCAAGGTTCAGGTAGTTTTGATTTATCAATAACTTTCCAAATCCTGTTTGTAGTGTGATCCATTATTTCTTGAAGATTTACAGAAGCACCGTAGTTTGTGGTAACAATTCCGGAATCTGGAATACAATCACTTTTAGATTTCACAATAAAGTTGTAGGCAGGGTATAACATGCAACCTTTATCTAAAGCCCCTTGACGGATAGTTTGATAGTCAGCCCTACTCATTCTACAGTCTAACATTAAAGCTAAAGCTTCTTCAGCTGAGTAGACTTTAGAGCATGATACATTGCAGGATCCATCAACTTTACTTTCCATCATATGTTTTAAAACTTTGGCGTCTTTATTTCGTCTTTCTTTGTTTAGATTAAGGATAAGGGCATGAAATAGGCTTTCAGTCGTAACTCCTAACTTTTCAGTAATCTCTGAAGATCTTCTTTTCTTAGACCTTGTTGAGAGATCTTCAAATGATTTTGATGGTGCACCTCGTTGTAAATGGTTTATCCTAACTTGCTGTTGAAGTTCATTTACAATAAATTCCATATTTAACCATTTCTCGTAACGATTTATAAATCTCCCTTTTTGTCTACCTGTCTCATTCCATTTCTTTTTAAAGTTTTTCATAAATTTTTCGGTTAACTTTATCTGATTGTAGTTTGGATAACATTGAGACATCAATTTACAAATTTCAGTTTTCGCTTTCTTTTTTATTAAACTTTCATATTTATTTTCCTTTAATTAAGTAATCGAAAATGTCTTTGTTCTTCATATTTAAATTTGATTTCACCACTATAGTGGTGAAAGGTATTTAGTGCACAAAGTAATTACTGCAAATATTTGTGAATATTTCTTGATTTGTTTATTCGTCTTTTCCGCTTATATTCTAGAATATTCCGGTATTCATA